AAAAGTATTACATGCGGCTAAACTAATAGAGCAAGCGTCGGCTCACAATTGGTGGGATATATTCACAGGAATGTCATCCACGGCGCAAAAATATGCAGTACTTCCTTTGCTTGTTTTGATTTTATGTATTGCCATATTAACATTATGTAATCTGGGCACTTGTTTCTATATTAGAAGAGTGAAAAGAAGAATAACTAGTTTGATTTATAACACTGCTTTATAATGAAAATAGCAATTGAAATCAGAGATCATTGGTTTGGCGGAGAACGGACCGTCATCCAAGTTAACTCCATGGTCCACCCTGACACGTTAATAATTGATTATTGGGTAAGTGGTGATAGAATTTACCGTCAATTTGAACACAATGGCTCTCGCCTTGATTTCTTACATTTAGTGATAGAAACTATGGAACAATGGACAAATGTTTTTGATCGACTGCCTTATGAAGTCAGGGGGGGAAATCTTCAAAAATTAGTCAGAAAACCAAAGAGGGGAATGAATAAAGAATTTTAAAAAATGTTGTTTTTCTGACTATTTAACCTGTGATATAAAGTGTTTTTGGTAAGGGCAAAATTAGTCAGAAAACCAAAGGGTGGAATGAGTTGAGAGTTTAATAAAATGTTGTTTTTCTGACTATTTAACCTGTGATATAAAGAGTTTTTGGTGCATGTTGTTGTGAGTCACCCAAGAGGCCTGAGGAGGAGGCTTGGCCCGCCCCCTCCCGCACGCTATTTCAAGGTTTCTCACCCTAGCTTCTCACGCTCTCGTGCTATCTCGAGGTTTTTAAGCTTCTCACGCTCTCACGCTATCTCGAGGTTTCTCACAGCTTTTAAGTCCAGGTGGGCATGTTTTGTTTACTGGGAGATGTTCCCACGTGATGGGGGGAGTATAAAAGTGTAACACTCAGAATAAGAGTTGGAGTCTGCTGTGGATCCTGATCCGATGCCCAGCCAATTGATGTTACCTTTCCACTTGGACTGAAATGGCTCTCCGGTCTGGTGACATGGTGAGGGGCTTTTACATCAATGTTTGATTTGTACTGAATGTACTACTGGCTTTGCTTGCTGTTTTGATCTGTGGCGGTTTAATAAATGACACTTATTATTCTAGCAGAAACAGCCTGTGAGTGTTTATTCATTGCTCCAATCATTCCCCGAACCTGTACTTTGTTTAAGATAATTTCATAAAACACCATCTATTTTGTGAAGTGCACCAGTCCCTCATGCAGCAAAACATGTGTTGTATAACACTGTGTTTCACAGTCTGGATGGTGATCTCAGGCTTGCAAGCTCTCCCCTTTTTCCTTCAAATGTAATGATGGTCATTATGGCCAAACAGTTCAATTTTATTTTCATCAGACCACAGGACACGTCTCCAAAAATTAAGGTATTTGTCCCTGTGTGCATTTGTAAACATTAGTCTGGCTTTTTTTATATTTTTTTAAGTAATGGCTTCTTCCTGGCAGAGTGGCCTTTCAGCCCATGTCGATACAGTACTTGTTTCACTGGGGATAATTACACACTCTTACCAGCTTCAGCCAGCATCTTCGCTAGGTCTTTTTCTTCTGTTCTTGGGTTGATATGCACATTTCGGACCAAAGCATGTTTATCTCTGGGACACAAAACCCGTCTCCTTCCTGAGCGATATGATGGCTGGACATTCCCATCTTGTTTGTACTTGCGTATAATTGTTTGTACAAATGAACAAGGCACCTTCAGGCATCTGGAAATTGCATCCAAGGATGAACCAGACTTGTGCAAATCCACAATTTTCTTCCTGACATGTTAACAGATTTCTTTCAACTTTCCCATGATTTTATACAAGGAAGATTGCCTTAAAAAATTATCACTGTCATATTCTGGCAATTTGTAATAGAAAAAAAATTGGTAATCCTAAATGACCTAAAATGGGAAAAGTTTATTTTGATTTCACAACAGACAGTGTGAAAAAAATGCGTCTTTTTAAATAAGTGTATGTAAACTTCTGGTTTCAACTGCAGTGTTTCCCCTACCATTATACAAGTGGGGTGCCCTACCCTCTTAACAGAACTGAGCACCCCGCCTACCAAACCTAACTTGCACCCCACCCGGCACTGACATAGCACTAAGCTAGCGGCGCAAAATACATGCTCTCTAGCTAAAAAGCTAATGGCAGCGCTCACATTGCCTCTTCTCTCAAGCTGATACCCCCCCCCACACACACACACACAGACACACACAAGCACACTCAAAAACTGTCTGTATAAACAGCGCACAACTCAAATGTGTCACGCTAAGCTAGCACTGCGCAATACAGGCGCTCTAGCCTCTTCCCTCATGCTGAACACCCCCCACTCAAATCAAAAACTGTTGGTACAAGCTGTGCTCAGACATGTCTCCGTCCCCCCATCAACAAAAATCATGGATGAGATGAGCACCCCGCCATGGCAAGTTAACTAGGGGAAACAGAACTGCTATACATACACACATACATACATATATACATACACGTTGTTTTTCTCATACTAATACTGTATTTGTCGCACAGTGAGCTAAAAACAAATCTGAAGCAGAAGGAACCATCAGGTTGTAGCAGCTGCTTCCACCAGCAATGAATTATGCTTTCAAACATAGAGCCTTTTAAGAAAAGAAGCATCTGAGTCATTTCCTGTCTCTGGCAGGTAAATGGTAAATGGACTGTACTTATATAGCACCTTTCTATCTTATCGAGATACTCAAAGCACTTTACACTACAATCTGTGTTCTCCTTTACCCATTCATACAGCACTCTGCTAGATCTATACAAAGCTAATTGAACAAATCATTCTAAAGAGACTAATCAGTCTCTCAGGTGAGGACACAAGAACCAAGGATAAAATGTTTATTTTTTAATTTCGTCTGCTCCCATCATGAGGGTCGCCACAGTGAACTAAGTCACACAAAGACTTGGCAATTATTTTTACACCGGATGCCCTTGCTGAAACAACCACAGACCACCGAGCTACCACAGCCCTCTGTGTAGAGCAGAGAGCTGCTATCTAGAGTGCCCAGAGGAGCAGATGGTGGAGGTTAAGGGCCTTGCTCAAGGGCCTAGAGTGGGGCAACTGATGATGGAGGTGTGGGTGCTTCACTTATTCAAAATTCAAGGTTCTTTATTTGTCATCCCACCCACATTTTGATGTGGTACCGGGAGTTGAACCGGCGATCTTCCAATCACAGGCCCACTTTCTCTAACCTCTGCGCCACCACTCCCTATTTTGTAAAAATAAAATCAAAAATAAAAATCTGATTAGAAAAAGAAAACTACAGAGTATACAGCTGAACAGTTTTTGGCTGATTTTGGAAGTATTTCAAAGTCAATGTGTTTTCCCCATTTTATGACAAAAGTAAATATGGACTATTAAAGTGTGATGAAGAATTAATGAAATGACTTTATGAATTGCATTTTTGGGATAAAGTTTCAGCTGGACAAATTTATATACCCAAATAAGTATAAAGTCGACTGTCAGAAAACATGGCTCCAACAAAACAACTATCAATGAAAATAAAATTATTTGAAATTTCCTTCAAAACTATTTGTTAAGAAGGTGTTGCTTTCAGGAATCTTACGTCTAAAAATTGAAGTAAGCTCAACAAACTGCAAAGGTTGTACAAGATGAAATACAGGTAGATCAAAACCTCAGGGGAAACAACTGAAAGCATTTGTTTAAAAGCATAATATGAGAAAAAAAAAACGTGTGTGTGTGTTGGGGGGGGTACAATTGTTCAAAAGAAATTGGAATTTAACCTAGTAAAGTCAAAGTAAATCATCATTACCAGCTAGTAATAATGATTAACTTTGACATAACTAGATTTTTTATTTTTTATTTTATGGTAAGGTATATACAACGCGTGATAATCAATAATCTGTGGAGAAATAAGTATGCATGTGTGCATTTTCTTGAAGCTATTCAAACTACTCTCGATTATTTAAAGAAAATGATTATAATGGCTCTATGACAAATTAAAACAAGTGAGGGGATAAAATGTGTTGTGTGAAATGGGTCTGCGTTGTTTTGCGTAAAACAGCAGACGAGCTACGTGATTAAACTGTCCAGTAAGATCATGAATATTCTCATTTTTACATACTATAAATACTTTAAAAAGTTAAAGCCAAAGTCTGCACAAAAACCCTTTGTTTTTTTTATACACTAATTAAATTTAGCCTCAAATTTAGTAAAAACCACTAAAAGCGGAATGAGAAGAGAGAAATTCAATTACTGCCTTACCTAATTATCTCCTTGACGAGGAATGATGATGTTGTCTTCAATGGTTAGTAAACATGTTCTGACGCTTAACGCTACTTAACTTTAGATTAATTTAACCGTCTTTCTCCGAAAAAATGTCTAGTTATCACTTTGAACCCTAAGTATAGACAACAGATGGTCATGTCACTGTTGTGTTAATTTGCGCGTCAGTGGACCGCGGTAAGTCAGTGGACCGTGTAGTGTCTGACATGAAGCTAAACTAGAAATGTTCACGCTACTAGCTAGCTGCTCTCTGTTTCCCTGGATAGCGTTGCTAAGCAACCCGAAACGATACCTCAAGGGCTAGTGCCATCTAGCTAAAAAGCGACACTGAAAAAGCAACTATCTAATTTATTAGTAATCGATATGATGTAGAAGCGAATCTGAGCGTATTTCCACTGAAAGACACGTTTAAATCAAGTACAAACAAAACATTATTGAATCGAGTTAGAGCTTTTTAGTTTAAAACTACAATTCCCTAGATTACCAAATTGCCGTATGATTGTTACAAGTGTCGTGGCACACCGGGGACTTTAAAAGTAACTTCGAGATTTGATCAGCACTTGTCTAGCGCAGCCAAGTGTGTTTCCACCAAAATAATAGTTTCTATTGAGCATTAAAAATATTCCTGATATAACTGGATAACTAGAATTTTTGTTTGTTTCTTCAAAAGTAGAATTGCTCGAACGGCCTTACTGCCGTGCGGCTGTTAGAAGTGTCGTGGTGGCCTGAGGATTTAAATAGGAGCGACCACGGGTGTCAAACAGAAGTGGGGGTGGACAGCCTGAGCTGTTCTGTGAAGATGGTGAGTACAGTCATAGCTGTTATTCTGATTTAGGAAAAACGTTGTACATTCCTGTTTAATTAGTTAATCGAAATATGTTGGGGTTTTTTTTTTTTTAGTTACAGAACGTTTACTTTAATTGGGTTTACAAATGAGTGTTTACAATTCTTCACATAAAAAAATGCAATGAAAAGTTCAAATACTTGTTTTATTCACAAATTGAATTATTTTGTCCACATAACAATTATCTTTAAATTGCCTGGTGATTTGATGACGATTAACAGAGAAGTTTATTTTGGTTTTGTTCCGTCGCAGTGATCTCCTAATAGAGGTCAAGTGGTCTATTTTTAACCTGACCCCCTGCTCTTCTAAATTCTATTGAGAAAAAAATAGACATCCACCCAAAGTGCATGGATAAAATGAATTGCTGCTGTCATAGACGCTGTGTTAGTGAAGTCAGCATTAACTGTTTTCTTTGCTTTGTGTCTTTCAGTCTGAGCCTATTAGAGTTCTGGTGACTGGTGCTGCAGGGCAGATTGCCTATTCCCTGTTGTTAAGCATTGCCAAGGGAGATGTTTTTGGCAACGATCAGGTAAAGATGGCCTCTGTCTTAAGCTCACAGCACACTGAAATCCTTTATCTCATTAAGTAGTTCAAAGATGGTGTCATAAAGCACAAGAAAACAGCTGTGAATGTTAAAAATGTCCCACACCATATCTCAGAGAGGTGGCACGGTTGCTCAGATTGCACTTGCTCATCCAGTGTGGCCCTGGGCAAGCCAGGATTGTCCTGCCAGGAGACTTAGTCCATGATTAAAACTACTTGATCCATCTGGCACATGCAAATGTTAGTGAGCCTTATGGTTTAGGCATTTCACATTTTGTTCTACTGTCAAC